CGACGAGATCCGAAGGAATTCGGATGTCGCTGAAATCTTAAAGAGAACAAGGTTCTCTCATACACTTAGAGGTCGCAAACAGCCGCTTCCTCCGCATACCATTCTGGACCACGAGTAAGATATATTCTACAATCTTTATGGTATCCGTAAATTTTCATACTTTTCTTTTAAGCCCCTAAAGGTTTCAATTGTTTCGTATTTGTTCAGTAAGATTATCTGGTTAGGAGATTTGAACTATCGGCTTGCTGCCGGTTACGCCGATAAATTCAAACTACTGAAGAAGAATGATTGGCAAGCACTTCTAGAGGAGGATCAGGTGAGAACCTAACCTAAACAATCAAAGAAAATAGATAGTTGACATTTGTTAGATCTAACATGTGATATTTTCCCTCATTGCTTGGCAGTTAAGATTAGAACAAAGGGCCGGTCGGGTGTTCAAAGGATGGGAAGAAGGCATGATATACTTCGCTCCGACGTACAAGTATCTCGCCGACTCCGACGATTACGTCGTGCAAACATCGAACTCCAAAGAGAAACAGCGGATTCCTGCCTGGTAAGATTTCAAGATTCTTGTTCCTTTCACCACCGGTTTTACTTAACTTTGACTAATTAAATACATGTAGCAAAGACTAAATTAATCCCAAGTTGTGCATTAATTAAGGTTGCTTGATGGGAACATGTAGTTGCCTTCATCATCCTTTTAAAACAATAGTCATGCTGATTTGTTTTATATGGTTAGATACATATAATTCTGTGGTATATAATATTACTATGGTTCTGCTTCTAGTTTTGGCAGTTTTCTTTATTTTTTGGTCTAATTCAAGTTTTAGTCCTTGTATCGTGTTGAGATTTCAGATTTATGGGAAAATGATTGCAGGTGCGATAGGATACTATGGAAAGGCGAAGGAATTAAGCAAATGTGGTACTCAAGGGGTGAGTTGAGGTTCTCGGATCACAGACCGGTTTATTCGCTCTTCTCGGTCCAAGTGAATTCAGCCAACTATCCCATCTCGACCGCAAGATCCTGCCCACCGACGTTATCGAAATTAACAGCCTGTGTCGCCAAAGTCCAAGCCGAAGAACTTCTACTAATTCCCAGGGAACAAAGCTGTTTAAACACAACTCCCAGGTTCTGAAAACCCCAAAATTCCATGTCCAAAAAATGTTCCACAAAGCCGACACCATTCTTGTCCGCGAAATTCTTAAAGACGGCTTGCTTGCTCGGTTTATGATGATATGATGGAAAATATAGCATGGCCTGCTATTTGGTAGAGCATGTCTTGGTGGATGAATCATAATAGAATATGTACATCAAAAACTTGCATGACGTGCCTGAATTTTTTGTCGAAAAGGTGGTGATCTCAATGGAATCTGTAAATACGTTCAGAAGCAGTGCAGCCCTGGGGTTCGATTTTTTATTAGAGCAAGCACTGGACAGAAACTGGAAATGCTGTATTATTGATTATTGGTGAATTTAGTTTTATATGCCTTTTTTGGGGAGAGATTCTTTTTTTGCCCAGTTTTGTCTGCAATTTAACCGTCGATTTGCATGTCATGTTGATTGCTTTGGACGCATTCCTCTTTTGGCCTCAAGTGTGATGGTCACTGTTGTTGGGAATGAATACGGTTAAATCACACTGTTAGCACTGATAGGACAAATAAAAATTAAACAACAATTGAACTATTGGAATTATGTCGTGGTGGAAATCACAGTCTTAGAAACAAATTCATCTCAATGTGTGTAATTGGTGCAACATGCGATTGCCCTTCGAATTAACACGGTCGTTCTGAGAATTCGTACACCCGAAATCGGAGTGAATCGCCGGTGGTATTGCTCTTATGATAACATAGGAAGGAAGCACTGAATGTTTTAAATTGAGAGGATATGTGAGTTGAGAGTGAGTTGAGAAGCTTATGATGCCTCTTTGTTTATAGGTTGAGTTTCACGGACAAAAATGTGTAACGAAAATCAGATATAAATCTGATTAATTTTCGCATTAATACTCTGTCTGAAATTGTTGTCGCAAACAAATGAATCTAGTCTCAAAATAATCCAGATTCGTGATTTAATTTCTATCCGTTTGTAACTCATGTATTGAAGCCACGTATTGCAAAGAGTCGCCGGACGGATGACAGTGGCGCGCGAGCCCTTGTTGTCTATCACTCAACAAGGGAGGAAAGAATGAATACTATAAAAACCTAAGCCAGTAGTATTTCTCACTCAACGTGGAATGATGTGTTTACGCATTACCAACAACGGTCTTGGATCAAATGTATCTAATAAATGTTAACGACAGGGGGGCCATGAATCATATGACCGAACCGGGACATTTGTTCAATTATCCGGCAATAGGATGGCAAGACTAAATGTGAAATACAGCCAAAGCACAGAATTGACGAGCTAATACACCCTCTCCTCCCATTTCTAATCAGATATTTCATGGATGCCTGAGAATCCTTGCTTTTAAGTTTACCCCAAAATACCATTATGAGATAAATAACCCACAGGAACATTTGTTCAGCTAGGATGAAAGAGTCATTATCATGTCCTTGGTAAAAAAAAACAAGAAAAGAAAATCTGGCTTCCCTTGTACTTATAGAACGTTAAAGTTGATCATCTGCTGCTCTCGATTCTCCTCTTCTGGTAAATTTTCTCCCTTTAGTTTGCATGCAATTTTTGGTTTGGATTGAAGTTGTGTGTTTATTGGTTTTCCATTGACAACGACCTGGGAGTGTGTCTCCAACTCGAGGTTCGGTAGTTTGACAGTAAATCTTATTACAAAGAGATATATAGGACTAAAATCTGATCAAAGCCCGTGGCTTTCATAGCAAAGTTGGTTAGAGCACCCGTTTAGTAAGCGGGAGGTCTTGAGATTGGCTCTCAATGCAAGTAAATAATTTTGTTTTTCCTCTAAGACAAACTTTTCTTTTTGGAAGCAAGTACCTACTGGTATTAATCATTAAGAACATCGTTCATAACATAATCTGTTAAAAAACTAAGACAGTCTTGATCAAAGTAAATGGTCTGGTTCGATGATGAGGACTGCCGTGCAAGCATATGTGCAACTTGATTGACCGACCGGCGGTGATATCGGACTTGGATGGAAGGTTGAGAAGCCAGAAGTTGAGGAGCAGCAACAAGATGGAAGTTGGAAACCAAGAGATCACATGGCTTATTTCAACATATATATATATATATATAAAACTAAATCTGATCACATCCCATGGCTTTCATAGCTTATTTGGTTAGAGCACTCATTTAGTAAGCAGGATGTCTTGAAAGCAGTTATATTTATCAATCATGATTGAGAGTATAACAAGTTAGACCATACTTGGTTTATGAACTAACTAAGCTAAACAAAAGTTTTAACTTCAAGTGAGGATTGTGATTTAGAAATCTCCAACCTATGGGTTTATTTTTTCAGTTTATGGATATACAAATGGTCTATAACTAAAATGATCATCAAGGTCAATAATGGTTATGAAATAACAATATGATATGTGTATGTTACTTATATGTTGATGTTGTTTAGGATGTATTCTAACATAACCATATATCATTTACAAGCTAAATCATCAAAAAGATCAAAATTAGGTAAACTTTGCATAAAGTGAATGAAGAGTGATTAGTATATCAAATTTTATTGTATTGTTGCTTTCGATGTGTTAGATGTATGCTAGAAGAGCATAAATTACATAAAATTTAGAGTTAATTGAATCATATGTCCGTAAACTATTAAATTGACCCTTGAACTTTTGAATATTTTAATTTTATCTCCAAACTATGATTCTCATTTTAAATTAGCCCATAAACTTTTGATCATTCTAATTTCAGCCCTAAACTATGAATCACTTTCTAAATTGGTCCCAAACTTTTGAATATTCTAATTTCATCACCAAATTCATCCAAATATGTAATTAGTTTCAACCGTCATTTAATCTAAATTTTGTTTTTCTTCAAACATATAATAATATAACTTGGCTTAAAGATTATATTAACAAGTGATGCGATTAGAGTATATGTATTGTTTGGGATGAAATTGCAATGTTGAAAAAGTTAGAGGGGGCCAATTTAGAATGAATGCCATATTTTGGGGATGAATTTGAAATGTTCAAAAGTTTGAGGACTAATTTAGAATAATAGTCATAGTTTATAGATGAAATTGGAACATTTAAAACTTGAAGGACCAATTTAGAATGAGGATCATACTTTGAGGACATGTGATACAATTAACTCTAAAATTTACAAGGTATGCCTAATTTTGCATATGTAGTGCATGGATGTTAAAAACTTGTTTTAATGACTCTTGAGAGTACTCAAAAGTTAAAACTAGTAATTTATGTTGCATGAACTACAAAGAATAACTTGGTATGCTTAATTTTGTGCTAACTATAAACTTAATGATTTAAGCATGTTTCCATGTCATAAGTATTTGATATATTCACATAACTTGTATTTGATTTGGATATAATTTTGACATGCTAATAACAACAGTGCCAGATCTAGAAATATTTTTCAAGATTGACACACATATGTTAACAATATAAATTTTTTAAATGGAATAGGTACAAATAAAATTTTAGGGTGAACATCATCCGTAAAATAAATAACTAATCGAAAAAAAACTCATATTTCACAGTAGACACCTTCAGTAAAATAGGTAACTAATCAAAGAAAATTTAGAATTCAGTTATATTTTTATTTCAGGGTACTCGACCAACAACTAATCTCTTAAGCAAGGTCAAGGGTTCAAACCCTGACGTTTGCGAACATAGTAAATTGGGTTTGGAGAATGGCATTGTCTTTGCAATACCTAATCTGGATCCATAAATCGGTACATATTTTTAGTTTTTTCATTAATTCCTCTATTGTAAGATCATGGTTTATATATATGAAATAATCTTTTTCTGGACACTGTGTCTGTTAATGGTGGCACCAACAACAAGCTCAATGATTACAAATGATGGATCATGTGTATGTCCTTTTAGGGTCGACAACTGATCAATACCATTTTATATTGTAAAGTCATATCGTTGTTACACTTGAATCAGAAAACCACTACCCATTATTTTCTACTTTATCAATGGTTTCCTCTCTGGATAACATTTTTGGAAATCAAATCCCTTTGAAGAAAATGGGAAAAAAAATCAAACCACATTTGAATCCCTTTTCTCTTGAGAGTTTTCCCTTCCGACTGTATCAATCATGATGGCCTGATGATCAAAACTGCCATTTTCACTGTTAGTGGCATTATCTAGTTTACTTGCTTCTACTTGCTGCTCCATTAATGGCAGCTGAGACTTGTATTCCTTGCTTTTACCCCATAGCACAAAATATAGTCCCAAGATTATGATAATAGCACCGATTACTCTTCCAAGAAACATCTGTTCACCCAGAATGAAAGAAGACATTACTGCTACAATCACCATACACAGGGGACTAAACGCCGTGACGAAAACCGGTCCTCTGTCGTTCATCACGACACCTTGAATGTAATAAGCAAGTCCCGAACACACAACTCCCTGCAGTAGCCATGGATAGATTTGTGGGGCTCAATGAAATAAGTGAATCAGAGGTATTTGTTGATTAAATTCTTACACTGTATGCAGCTGTAAGTAACTTGGTGTCCCATTTAAGTGCCCAAATTGCAGCATTTCCCTTTTCCATTACCAAAGCCGCTACGGTTCCTTCGAGTGTGCCCATCAGGCATATCCAGGCAGTGAGGGAGAGTTCGGCCGGATATGTTTTCAACGTGACAGCCTATAAAGACATGGCATAATGTCAATGTCATGGTTCTAGCAAAACTTTATACGGTTATTTTTTTTCTGTCTTCCTTACTTGCAGAATCACGAAACAAGCGTAGCTGAAGCAACCGGCGGCGATCATCAGACCGCCTTTGACGGTGTGGTGGAAATCCGTCCCGTTTTTGGATGCTGCTTCGTGGTTATTGATACTCGATTTGGTCCATAACAACTCCAGAACCGGTCCTTTCATCAGTGTCATCACCATGGCCCCTGCAACAGTTGCAAGGGTGCCGATAACCTTAGCATGGCTGCGGATGGATCTAAACTTTACCTTCTCAAGCCTGCATAGATATATCACCAAACAAAATGAATATTTATCCTTGTTTATTGCGTAAGATTATAGCTTCTCTGTACATTTCAGAAAATTTTACCTGAAAATCCAAGCCATTAAGAAGGTAATGGCAGGAAGAATGTTATACATGGCAGCTGCAAAAGTTGCCGTGGTGTACTTCATCCCCACATAATACAAGTTTTGGTCAATCACTGGCCTGCCAAAGTAAAAAAAATATGTTAAATGTTAATCATACGATGTTAAAAAAAACTCGGAATTTGATTCGAATAATTACTCCAATAAGCCGAGCAACATTATTTTGATGAAGATTGACATTGTCATCTTAGGCCTCACTTTCCTATCAAGATAAAATTTCCATGTCAGCTTCATGACACTGATTACAAACATTACATCAAAGACTATATAGAGATGGAGATGTCGATATACTTTTCAATGATGGCAGCGAAAGGAACAATAACGATGGTGGCGATGGCGTGTCGGTAAACGACTAGCGCGTAATTGCTCATGCCGTGGTTCAGTGCAGCCTTAGATAAGATATCCATCCCTGCAAGACCAACTTGCAGAAAAATTGCAGCAAAATATGGCTTGAACTTGCCTAAAGAACCCATGTCTTGGTTCTGCTTGTATATTATCTTATGGATATGTGAATGCACACTTGGAGTTAGCTCTCAAACTTATAGAACATTAAAGTTATTGGTGTGTTGCACTCATGAGGGAGATTTGTGGTATCTGTGTCTTCCTATTTATAATATCAGAAGTGCTCCACTTTAATTTATGTCATATTCCACTAAACTTTCAAGCCATTTTCTGATGCAAAAGTAAATTATTTTATTAATAGGACCCTTATAACACCTGCCCACGACCTGGGTTGCAGCTGATTTTTCGTTTCTTTTATCCGTGGGTCAAATTATTATATATTCAATATTAGCCTTTGGTTTTTAATGTTTACTTATTTTTTGTAATTAAATTTCAAATAAAAATTCTAACCAAGTCAAGCGGGTTCAATATTAAAAAAAAAACTTGCTCATGAATTTTTTTATTATTAAAAGTACGGGAAAATCCTTCATTTGAATTAATTACAGTTTTAGAATTTTATTTGAGAGTTATACTTGAATAAAAAAAATTTATGGGTAAATTGTAACACCCTAAACTAGATTGAGCCTAAAGTGTCACATTGGGCTATCGATAATCCCTGATTTTCAAAACTTGTATATTTCCTTTTCAAACATGCTTAATGGTATCATAATTAAAACATAAACAACCTTTATAAAACCATTTATAAAATCGGAGCTCCTTGACACATAATTTAAAACAAAATAATACATCTTGAAGTTTACAACTCAAATACATAAGTAAGGTTTTATGAATACACATGCCCACTAAAGCTACAGTACAATACTCTGACGGAGATATTGTAAGTGCGGCTGCGATGGTGCTTCACGAACCACCCAAGCTATTGACATGCCAATAGAAAACATCCGAAGGCTGAACTTACAATGCCCAACAGAATAATCAATAATATACAGCAGCATAAGAATTTCATAAACATAAGCATGCAGAAGACATGATACTAAGCAGTAGGTGCATGCATGACCTAGATCAAGTGCTACATACTTAAGGTTTTACTGTTCTATCACAGATGTAGGGATCTCACGCTTCCTTTAATCCTCTGCTAAGGGCCTCACCATGAGTACTCCTCTAACGTGGCTCTAACCCTAATGCTTGTACTAATACGCATTACTTAAATGTAACCTGAATGTACTGTGCATTATCTGAATGCACCCTGACATACTATGCATTATTTGAATGCAAACCTGACTAGTATCTGGTCTCACATAGCCATCAGACACTAGTTACTGAGGGAACACCGATGTCACATAGCATCGACGTAATTTAAAAAAAAAATACTGAATGATCTCCTGGTCTTCACGTAGCCATTAGGTAGATCACTGAAGGGAACCCGATGTCACATAACATTAGTACAATTCCTACTTAACTGAAGCATTGGCTCGGTCTCACATAACCTTCAAGTCAAGCTTTAACATATATGACATACCAGACTGATGGGGCTATACATGCATGACTCAAACAAATATATATGATGTAGGTCTGATGGTGTGGTCGGAGGAATTTTATGTGCATCTCGGGACAACGCCCCAACCTACCTAGAATACAGAATAGCTTAGGGTAAGAACCAAAATTTACATGCATCGAAAGCTTACATGACTGTACTAAACTAACATAACCGCCCATGCATATCTAAGTCCCACATGTACATAACACTGACATCGCTAACCCACTCATCGCGAGTGTCTGGACCTCGCACCCTAGTTAGCCCTTGAAGTGCCTCGTGCACTGGTAATGCCCCACTAGGGCAACTAAGGTAACCTGAGTATACCTTAACATAGTTGGACTCACTAAAGTGAAGTTAACATCACACTAGCTGCTATCTCGCTTGTTCTCTCATCTAGAACGTTATGCGAAGGCTTATTTATTAACTGTGGGACTGACTAGCCCGATATCTGGCTAGATTTTATTTCTGAGTAGCGATACTCGATTCGATCTTATCGTACTTCCCTTTAGAACCTCTTGAACTCAAAAGGAAGACTTACTCTTCTTGTGTTCACTGATACTATTGAAGCTCATGTTTTTCTCTACCACTGAATGTGACATATCCATCGTACCACTTATTGGATATCTCCTATAACGATTCTCACTCCCAACTACCTGTATATGTCCTTGATTGAAGATACTTCAGCGTATTACACTTAATATGGTTACACCTTATGTAACATGCTTTTACGAGTGTTTCTAGGTATGCTTGGTCATTTACATCCCTCATGGACAAAGTCTTGTTATTACGGATCATCCTTAGCTCTAACAGACCTTAAACGGGTCAAATCTGACCATCCAAAGTGAGTAGTATCAATATTGAAACCCTGAGTATCTATACTCCCCTTGCAGTATCGACACTACCAGTCAAAATCTCTAATTTTTTCCTCAATACATCTAGTATAGATATTATCCATCTAATATCGATACTCGAACCCTGAAACAATTATTCTAGGTTTGGGAAACACTCAAAATTCATCATAAATGCCATAATTTGGTTCTAAATCATGTACCAATGTTATGGGTAGTTATTTAGGGTCTTAAGGTGTCATAAAACAAATACTAAACAACAAATTCATGATTTATGGCATGAATTAAAAGTGAAACTCTAAATGCTCAACTACACAAATCTTAGCAAATTTTGGGATTTATGAAAACTTAATACTCCAAAGGATTAGAAATACAGTACCTTGATACCAGGATCTCGAAATAAAGCTCCTTTAGCTATCAAGCACTTTCCTTTTTGACTTGGTTGATTTTCCACCTTTTTCCTCAAACAAAAAATAAAGACAATGATTCTTAGCATAAAATTAAAATGAGGAGGATTATGGACGAATTTTGAAGCTTAGAAGAGAAAGGAAAAACCCCAAACACTTAGCTTGAATTTTCCCTAGCTATGGAACATGAAGATGAATAAAGAGAAAAGAAATGAAGAAGAGATGGGACATGGAAACCCCACGTCCAAAACCAATAAAAGCCTCCAAAATCAGCTTCCATTCTCTTCAATGGTCTAATTTTACTTTTAGTCCTTTGTATTTTGTCTCATATTCAAAAATCCTTTTTAAGGCTATTTGGCCCTAAATCCAACCAAATTATATCCAACGACTTAAATCATGAAATATACGGGGTCAACTTACCTCTCAGGTAAATTCTAAACTACTACCCCATAATTTGGGGTGTTATATAAGTTGTGGTTGTGGCAAATGTCAGTAATTCACTTATTTTGATTTGGGTAGAGAGTTGTGACTAGTTACTTAGTGGAGGAGAAAAAGAGAACAAACGAATTGAAGATGAGATGAATAAATGTCCGACAGACTGAGAGAAAGAGAGAGAAAGTTTGATCCCAGTCTTCTTCTAACCTTACATGGTGATATATATATATATATATCGACCTTTAGTGCTGGTGTTAGACTTAGGGTCAAAATAGATATTGATAACCTGGCAGAGTAAATAGATATGACTGTCAGATAATAAATTTAACACTAATGGGTCACGTGTGGCTGTGAGTGACTATGTCAGAGATTGTGACTGACCAAATGATATGGAACCCCTGAGGAACTCTAGAGGCTTCGATTATCAGAGAAGTTTCTCTCAAAGTTTCAATAAATAAAAAAGTGATTGCTAAGGTACAACCTAAGGAAGAAATTTGGAGGATGTACAACAAAAAATAATTAAATTTGAGTCATTAAAATACTTAAAATAAATTATGAACTAAGATTTTTTTTCTTACAAGTAGGGAAAATGTTGATCATTTGGTTAGGTTATTTAAACTTATTAATGTTAATCTTTAAAAGAGCTGTATTATTCTTAAGGAAGTAAACATATCTTTGGTTAAGAGAATATTTAATGAGCACCGAAATGTTTAGAATAATTGGAGCTATCTATTTCTGGTTTCAAATTGAGTAAGATTTATCTAAGATTTCTCAATGCTGATTTCGGTATGAAATTTGAGGATGTTATTTTCAAGTATGTTAGTAAATGTGTTTTTATGTGAAATATGACATCATTGTAAAAATGTGTTAATTGATATGTTCGATGTGTAAAAATTCAGCTAAACGTTCCATTCGAACTAATAATGAGCTATATACTAATATGCTAATGAAAAATGACAATTTTTAATATTTTGATAAGGTAATTAATTGCCCTAAATTATTAGTTTAATTTAAGGTACAATTAACATGTTGTTATAAGGTCTATAATGCACGTGTACAAGTTTTATGACTTCACTTTTGATGAAGAGAAAAGATGTTACTTTTAGGACTATGGCTCTCTCTGAGAATAAAAGAAAGATGTTTATTGTATTTATATCGTATCGATATCGGGTGAGAATGTAAAATCTAAGGATATGTAGAGTACTAATAGACCATCAAGCTAAACCTAATGAACGCATCCACATGCACTTCACATTCATTGTACCAATTGTGAATGAGAACAAGTTGATTGTGTTGGTTGTGAAAGGTTCATCCCTTCTGATTTGAACGGATATTCATAGCCGGTGATCAACCAATAATATTGACGATGAAGAGATGAAAAAAAATCTCGAGGAAGAATAATTAAGATATCATGAGGAATTTCCCCCTGGTATCTAGGTTTTCATCTATTGATCTCTTTTGCGTGACTGTATTAGACCTAAGATTATGATTGTTGTCCGTCCGTAGGCGAATAAAATGGTTAAATGTAACCACCAATTATTTAATTTGAGTTTTGTCAAATTTCTTAAATTTGCTAATTGTTTTAAAATATAACATAATGGGTAATGAATGGGATGGTGGGGAGAAATCATTGCCCGGTTGTAGAATGATTAGTATTTGATAGCGAGAAAGGCAAAGTCGAAAACACTAATCTTATTATATCCCTTGAATAATTGTTTTACAAATGTTGTTGTGGTGCCTTTGAGTTTAGTCAATGAACAGGTGAAGTTGCTTTTGTAATTTTCTTACAAAAGAGTAAGAGTGTTTGATGACTCCAATATAAATAACATCAAAGTCCCAATTAAAAATAAACAGATTCTTGTCCAACCAACATAGTGCGTAATGACATACACCCTCAAATCAATAGAGTTTCTTGTCTTAAGAAGAAGATT